CAGACGGGAGTTCCCACCACGCATTTGTGAGTTCCCACCACACATTTGTGAGTTCCCACCACGCGTTTGTGAGTTCCCACCGCGCATTTGTGAGTTCCCACCACACATTTGTGAGTTCCCACCACGCGTTTGTGAGTTCCCACCGCGCATTTGTGAGTTCCCAAAGATCTGCAATTAGCAGAAACATAGGACCAACTCTGTCAGTCAGGTTTAGTTGCAAAGAGAACCCAGGTTTACTTGTTGGGAGGGTCAGCAAGAGTGTGAACACTCGACTTCCAGGAGCAGAGTTGAGGCCCACGTCAGAGAACTGGCTCCTTGAGAGCCGTGCCTTGGCTCCACCCGCGCAGCAGACCAGATGCTTCCACATGGGCATTTCCTCACGGGAGGATTGAGAGCTAGACAAAGGCTAGCTTCCTACTGGTGCCTTTTGCCAAAAGAGATAATCCACAGCCCGGCATAGAGCTCACTCCTGTGACAAGAAAGGAAGGAGCAGACTCTGGGAAACTGCCCAATTCTTAGTCCTTAGGTGCACTGGGTTTCCCTCGCACTTCGGCCCCCCATGAGAGCCCTGCAGGCTGCCTCTGCCCGTGCCGGGAATGCTTCTCTCCCTTCTCCACGGTGGCTCTCAGAATCTGCCTCTGGCTCCCCTGTCTGGAGACGGGAAGACTTCTCTGGCTCATTGACCTTTCCATGTGACTCTTGAGTGCAGCAGCTTCCTTGCTTTGATCACCACCTACAGCTCCAGGTCAGAGATCCCCCTTTTCTCAGCTCAAGCCCTGGAACTCCTACCAAAGGAAGAAGGTTCACACCTTCCAGAGCATTCTTCACATGGACCCAGCTCTGAGGTGCTAATGACCCTGGGGACAAAATGGGCAAGAGCAGAATGTAAACCAGGTGTGAAAAAGGCAACGGCCAGGCTGACTCCGCAGAAGGTCGGCCAGTGTCCAGTCTCTAAATGATGGAAAACTTTGGTCCAGACGAGGCTGTTGTCCATGTCTGTGGGTGGGGCCCAGCAGTAGGTGTCCCCATGCAGGAGTCATGTTCAGGTTGCTTCACGGGGCTAGACCTACATGGTCACCTGTAGCAGGTTATGGACTGTCAGCCAAGGGTGAGGCCCATCCTCCAGGGAAGGTTCTGGCAGAGATGAGGCAATATGCTTGGGCCCCAGTTCTGCTCAGAGGGCTTAGAACTCAAGAGAAGCTTCAGAGCAGATTGACATTCTGGTACCCATAGGAGGGGAGGGAGATTTGTAGAATGGATCCGGGATAGACTGGGATTATTACAGTGTAAATCTGGGATAAACGGGATCATTATTACAACCTCTGTCTCAGCATCCCAGCCTGTTGGCCATTCTGATGACAAGAAGGGGGCCCTTAAGCTGAACTCCAGCTCTGCCAGCCCACACTCGTTGGGAGATTTAATCCCGGCTCCGGCGTCTTGTGTATTCTTCCCTTTTGATCTTGTCAGCTTCCTCCCTTTGCACAAAAATCAGAGGAATGTGAACTCAAGTTTTCTTACGAGGGGACTTGTCAGAATGAACTGGGAAGGATGGGCTGCATCAAGAAGGTGTGGCAGAGATTGGCTACCTGCTCCTTACACTTATTTCCTCTTTGGAGAGATCCAGCCACGTGTCCCAGCCTGCTCTGCAGGTAGGTGTGGCCGTGTGGTTGTGTTCCAGCCAAAAAATGGGGAGCAAAGGGGGTGCTGGCTGCTCCCAGGACTAACCCTCAGAACCCCGCCATTTGTGATCTTCCGCGTACACTGTGCGAGGCATAGTCCCCAAAAGGCCAATCCAAAGAGGGTATTGTGCCACTCAGATGTATGGCGTCGGTGATACATGGGGATTTGGAGGTGTCAGAAGTAGAGAGGGGCTTTAAGGGACTGGGAGAGCAACGGTAGAGAATCTTTGAGCAGGGATGCCAAAATAGGCAGGAATATAATTGCCATCCACTGTTGGGATTCCATCCAAAGAGAGTAAAGGGACACCAGCCAAGTAAAGAGGCCCCAGGAGCCATATTCAGTAGGAGCAGGGGAGCCTCTGGCTGTTGGCGGCTCTTACTTTATCTCACACAGCAGGCTGTTCTGTAATGGCTGGCTGTGGGAAGAGTGACAGGTTCCCCTGGGTCCTGAAAGGCCCTGGCAAACATGTCCCTGGCCTTGTCCCTCCTGGTGAATGTACAGAAGAAAAAAGCCTGTAGTCCTCGTACAATACATATAGTACATTTGCTCTGACTTTTTACTTATCATGAGCTGTCTTGAATTATCTGGAGATTTACAATTACCTGTTCAGAATATTCTATTTTGTTCCTGAAATAGAGGTACTAGAAGTTCATGACAGAAACTAGATGTAATTTTTCCACAGGAACAATATAATAGGGCTGTGATTCTAGCCAAGGTCTGATACTATACTTGCAGAAATGTTCAGAAATTGTAGAGTAACCGATGTGTCCGTAAGAAGCCTACCCTGACACAGCGTGGAGTGTTCTGAGGCCTCTATAAATCAGTCAAGTAGGACAGTGCAGTAATTAATCACAGTAAAGCTCTAAAAATTTTATGTGAGAATTTCCCTGGGGGCTTGGAACCAGAGAGCCCTCTGGCCGAAGGCAGCAGCCAGACCCAACGGTACGTCTGCAGAGTGTTTTAGAACAAATTATCCAGGTCATCTGTTGAACCGTGTTAGCCCAAGGTTGACTGGAGACCACAGCTGTCAGGATTCTGGACACCTTTATGAAATATTGTCCTCATCAAAGGGCTTTAGAACACTGGGTCACCCCTGGAATTATAAGAGGCCAAACTCAGAGGCCCAAGGCCATTTTTATTTTATTTATTTGTTTGTTTATTCATTTTTAAAGTTCACTTATTTTGAGAGAGAGAGAGAGAGAGCGTGTGCATAGCAGGGGCAGAGAAAGAGGGAAGAGAGAGGATCCCAAGCACCGTCTGCACAGAGCCCAGTGCAGGCCCCGAACCCCCAAACTTGGAGATCATGACCTGAGCCCAAAGCAAGAGTCCCAACGCTTAACCCTGAGCCACCCACGCACCCCCCCCAAGGCCATTTTAAAATCCCCCTCCCCCAGCAGCCTCCCACACAACATGGCCTTCGTGAAACCTAAAAACCAGGACCTTTGTAAAGAAAAGGAAATTCAGATGACATCAACTTGGAGAAAAGAGACGTGTGACTGCTTCTTTCTCTCTGTTGTGAATATTCCTCTTCCACCAAACTCCATTGAAGCGTCCGTGGGCTTTATGTTCCTGGCCCTTGTCCCCGTGGGTTTTTCCAGGAAGGGGGGGGGCCAGAAAAAGCCCAACTGGCATTCCTTGGGTAAGAACAGCCCAGGGCTCGAGTATACCCACGTTCTGCCAGCCAGCGCCTCGCGCCATTGCAGAGTTTCAGAGCAGAGGAGAATAACGCAAGGTTCATTTAATCAGGCTCACCGATTGTATTTTCTCGGCCCTTCCAGAACACGCTGGTGACAACAGGGATGGATCCGGGCTCAGGACCCGTGGATGCTGTGAGGAGGCACAGGCCTGGAGCTGTGGGTCAGTAGTGATCATCTGTTCGAATGATGGTCATTATACATGTATAGTTGATGAAGTCCCTGATTTCTTTTAGACCCAATTTCCTGGTGCACGGGCCAGCGGGCTCATGTGAACTGCTTGGCCGGAAGGGGCTTCATTTAGCAACCAATCAGCCAAGAGAAGAAGCTCTGCCGTTGGCCTGGGAGGATCTCGAGCCAAACGAGAGAGGAGACGGGGCCGCTTCCACCAGGCTGGTGAAGGTTGAGAGAAGGTCTGTTGTCTTCCCTGCAGTCCCCTGAACCTGAGCAGAAAGGGCCCTTCTGCTCTGTGGCCAGCGGATCTGCAAGGACTGAGTACAGGGATCAAGGGACCCTCTGACCTGACATTTCACCCTTCATTTACCAGCCGGGGAGGAAGCCTGGGAAGCTCATCATGCCTCTCCCCAACTGAATAGCGTGATAGACACTTTTTCCTTTGGCTGTGATGGAGTAAGAGCAATGACCGTCACCAGGTTGGGGGCTGTGAAATAACCCCCCAGAAATGCATCGGAAACACTGTCACGGCTCCAGAGAAGGTTCTAGAGCTCACGGCCTCCATGAGGGACAGAATGAGGGAGAGGGGAGGAGGGTGCAGACACGTGCTTCCTGTGCAGTTTGCATCCCTTCCTGTATCCCAAGCTGGCTGTCCTCAGACTTTCTATGTTGGCCTTTCTGATAGCAACTAAGAGTTGAAACAAGAGCGAAGGAGGTAAAATGCCCAACAATACCAAGAAAAGAGAAATTAGGCTCGCCAGCTGCATTCCGAATGATTTTAGGTCCCACAAGAGGCCACAATCCATGGACTCTTTAGGCACAAATTATACCCCCTTCAGAATATGCTCCCCACCCCCAGAGGCTTCTCCTTGTCAGCACCGTCCATTTTGCTTCCTGCTTCAGCCCTCTTCCAGGACGATAGAAGAGACTGGGTGGTGCGGGGGAGAGAGGGGACAGGCCGAACCGTGTGGTTAGGCCAGGGTGTCAGAAGTCATCCTGCGAAGATCAGCACCCCCTCCGGCCCCCGGCTTAGAGAACCCCAGGTTAGCAGGAGGGACTTCAAGGCATCTCAACCCAAGACAGCTTCGGACCCAAGGAAGGGTCTGTCCACGTGGGGAAGGTACAGCAGAAGAACCGGTGTGCAGTGGGGGAGGGGGGCCAGCTGTTCGGGGCAGACCCTTCCTGGTCGGTAAGTCCCGCTCAGGGAGAAGACAGAACTCTTGCTTCTGGTGAGGCGTGCCTTCCGCCAAGGCTGTAACAGGCCAGGTCGTCCCCCCGGGGGGTTGTGCAGGAGACCCCCTGCCCCCTTGCAGGAGTTTGGAACCTGACCTATCCCTCAGCTCAGTGGCCGAGGCACCCGAGGCTCAAAGCTGTAGTGTCACTCCAGGCCAGTATGCGGGACCGGGGCATTGTGACCTCAGCTGTTTTGTACACAGATAGGTGGCCGTCCTCCCTCACCTTGGCCTGTAATCTACATAGGACAGTGGCCTGGTCACAGGGGCCCGTGTGGGAAGGTTGGGAAGTTAAAGAACACTCTGGCCTCCTCCATCATGTCGGCCAAGAGGGTGGAACTGAAGAAGTCAAGCCTGGTAAAGGAGAAACATTGGCTGGACAATGTGGGGCCGCTTTGAGTCCTCACTGAAGGGAGGTGTAGGGTGGGCGTAGGGGGACACAGAGAACTTTCTGGTGAATGCTCGGCTCTTCCCTCTCCATTCTAAGCATGAGGTGGCCTTTGAGCCTGGAAGGGGGCTGGGATTCATCCCTGGCCGTGGGGTGGGAAGGAAGGAGGCCTCTGCCGACTCCCTTTGGGACGAGGAGCCATGTAATACCCACACCACCTCCAAGCACCCCCGGGGCCACGCCTCCGGGCCAGGCCGGTGCCAGGCCTGCGTCCGCGGGCACATCTGAGGCACACAAGCACCTTATTAGATAATGTGATGAGTTCCCCCAATTTGCAGATGAGGAAGGGAGGCGTGGAGGGAGTAGATAGCCTGCCCGGGCGGCACAGGTAGGGGACAAGCAGGCTGAGACCCGATTGCAAGTCAGTCTGTCCCTGAGGCCTGAACTAATCCACGGCTCCCATAAAGTCATCTTCTAGTACGTTCCCGGCTCAGGCCCCCCAGCAGGGAGAGGGCTGCCTGGTGCCTGGGCAGGTGCGTGTTCAGAAAAGGAAGAGAACACGACAAAGTTTGGGTTGTCTTGAATCAGGTCTTTGGGAGGGGGTGGGCTACGCGGGCCCGAGCTCGGGGGCAGCTGGACAGGCAGGACTGGTTAGGGGGGCCCTTGCTGAGGAGGCTGGTGCCATCCCCCAGCCCTGGCACCCGACAGGAGCACTGCCAAACTCCTCTCTCTACAGAACAAGGACTACAGGGCCGTGTGCCTGGAATTGAAGCCCCAGCTGACCAAAGTAAGAAGCTTTTGTGAGGCCATGCCGGCAGCCAGGCCTGAGACCCGTGGGGAGGTGACTTGGAGCCAGGGGTCATTCGCTGTTCCTGGCAGCCGAGACCTGTCCCAGGTGCTGGGGGAGACACTGAGAGAGAGAGAGACAAGCTCTCTGCTCTCGCAGAACTTCACACTTGCAGTGACCTGATACAGAAACCAACAAGGAAAATTCGGTAGTGGTACCTGCTAGGCAGAGAACTGAAATAGGGAGGTCTGACAGGGTAGCTGCTGGGCCCAGGGGTTCGGGAAAGGCCCCAGGCTGGGCTGGGAGCTGAAGCCACGGCCACAGAAGGGCTGAGGAAGGGCAGTGGGGGGGGGGGGGGAAGGAGCATGGTCGTTCAGGGGCCAGGAAGGGTGGCGGCGTGACGAGCTCAGAGCAGAGCAGATGGTGGAGCTTGCGGTGCAGGCGGGGCTGCCGGCTCTCACCCCTGCCCTGGCCCGAAAGGAGGAACAGAAACTTGGGAAGATCTCTTCTGCCTCACCCACCCCACACCCGCGACGTCCGACGTTCTGTGTTTCTGTTTTCAACCAACAGAGCTATGACTACAAAGGACTTAAACAAGAAGGGCTGGTTGCCAAACCAGGAGGGACACAGGAGCTGAGGGTAGGTGGGGCGGCCCCGGCGGCCGGCCGCTCCGTGGTGGGTACACGGCTGGGGTCTGTGGTTCTGCTCCGGGCCCGGGGCCTCATCCCCTTCCATTCTGTTCTGTCCTAAGTCTTCGTTTTGAAGTAATTTCAGACTTATGGAAAATTTTCAAAAACACTGTACAATGAATTCTAGTACATCCTTCACTCAGATTTCCCAAATGTTGGCATTTGATGATTCTCTCTCTCCCCCCTCCCTCCCTCTCTCTCTATGTATTCACACACACATACGTATAATGTTCTCTGAATCATCTGAGAGCATGTTTCTCTCAAATTTCAGTGCCTATTGCCCTAAAAACAAGAACGGCCTGTTACACAATGAGCAAAATATCAAAACCAGGACACGAACATTGATTCAGTCCTAATTGTATCAATTATTCTAATTTTATCAGTTATTCCACTTGCACCTTTCACGACGAAAGAGCCTGGGAGCCAGTCCAGGACCACACACTGCGGTGAGGCTCCGCGCCTCTCTAGTTGCCTTTCGTCTGGAATAGCTCTCCAACCTTGGTTTTGGGGACATTGTCATTTAGGAGGATTATAGGTCATTTATCTTGTAGACTGGCCCTTCATGTGGAGGTCTGAGGTTTCCTGGTGACCAGATGCAGCTATGCATTTTGGGGGGTGACGTTACAGAAGTGAAGGTGTCCCCTTCAGGGCATCATATCGGGAGGCACGGGCTATCTATATGGGCCACAGCATCCTTTCTTTTCTTCCTGGCGGGAGGCAGCTCTCTGTTCCTCCTTATTAGCAATGCCCCAGGATCTTTCCCTTCCGTCCCAGACTTTGCCTTACTCCTTCTCTTCCCTATTTTATTTCCTCAGAATGAACTCAGGGAGGTGAGGGAAGAGCTCAAGGAAAAAATGGATGAGATCAAACAGGTAACAGGATGAGACCTTTCAGGACATGGAAGGAAAGGGTGCCTTCCAGGAAAATGCACTGGCTGACTTCAGATCACAAGGGGAATCAGGAATTGCATGGAAAAAGCATCCGCCTGGCTCAGCCCGCGCCCCTCCAGTGTTTCAGTGCTGAGCCGCTTAGGGTAGCAATGCCTCGTCTTGTCTGATGCTTAACCCCAGGTTTTGAATGACAAGAACTCTCTAAGGCATCACATTGAGGAGTAGGGGGTATAGCCCCAGTGACAGAGTGGGAGGGGCTGACCAGGACGTGGGGGAAGTCAGGGGCCAATTCCATTCTCCTTCCTCCTCTTTCCGGAGCAAGCCACAGAGCAGGAACGCTCTTGCTGCTTTGCTGGAACCGCCGATCTCGTGCGTAGGGTGAGAGGGAAGGCTGAAGAAAGAAGGTGTGACTAAAGCTGTGGTCTGAGCCCCACAAGGAAACCTTGTAGCAGCCAGATCTAAGCCCCCCCGAGGCTGCTGCTGCTGGTGACTTCATGGTACATGCGCCCTAGTGCCTTCATAGACTCCTTGGGAAGAAAGGGGCTTTAATTGGCCACCACAAGTCCGTTCCTTGCGTTTTATCCAAGAAGCAGCTGATGCCCTTTGTTTAAAATGCCCCAGAGGTGACTCCACATTCAGTAATATGTGCCGTACCTTTCTTCTCCATTAGATAAAGGGTGTAATGGACAAGGATTTTGATAAACTCCAGGAATTCGTGGAGATTATGAAGGTAAGCATTTACTGAGTGCCTCCCATGGGCCAGTACCCCTCTGGGAATTACGGAAGGAGACTGCACAGGAAACTGCCCTGTAGTTGCTTACCATCTAGCAGAAGACCCAAACTCTATGGCAAGGGAGAAGTAAATAACAAGGAAGTACCGAGTTCCATGACAACTGGCTGTCCGTTTATCAGGAGCCTGGAGAATGAGTCATGAATGTGGCGTTGGGGTAACCACACAAAGCCTTACAGAGAAGGTGAATCTTCCTGTGAGCTTTGAAGGCTACATGGGAAACTCTAACCAAAAGCCCAGTAAGATGAGTTTTGAACTCAACAATTACTAAGAGGAACACCTAGACTCTAGAATAGTGGCTCTCAGGGTGCCTGGGTGGCTCAATCAGTTGAGCATCCTACTTCAGCTCAGGTCATGATCTCGTTTGTGGGTTCGAGCCCTGCATCGGGCTCTATGCTGACAGAGCCTGGAGCCTGTTTCAGATTCTGTCTCCCCTCTCCTTGCCCCTCCCCCACTCGCGTGCTTTCTCTCTCTCTGTCTCAAAAATAAACATTAAAGAAAATGTTTAGAATAGTGGTTCTCAAACCTTGATGTGTAGGGGGCTTAGATCCTTGAATTTCTCTCACGTTGCCCAAGTGAAAATTTGAGAACTACTGATATAGAAGGATAAATAGGCAAAGCAGATATCTTAAAATTTTTAAGAGTTATAAAAGGGCAGCACCCCTACCAGATATATAAAATTCATGTAAAACCACAATAATCTTGTGTAGATAACCAGTCATATGAACAAAAGCAGTGTATATAACCCTGTATCAACCTCTGCCGAGGATACACAGGATTTTAAACCTCTGTATACTCAGGCCTGGTCAGATGAACTGAGTAAAAATCTCCAGAGGGGGGCGCAGTTCCTTCAAACTCTTAAAACTGATGCTGATGCTTTCCCCTGGATAAGAACCGCATCCTACACACCTTAGCAGTAGTTTTTAATCTTGCCTGCATATTGCCCGCACCTGTACTGTGGCTTTGACCTTATACCCAAGCTGCACCCCATAATGCAGGTCCAGGCATCAGTAGCTTTTAAAGATCACTAGGTGATTCCCTTGTACCCTGAAGTTTTGGGCAGCACAACTCTGTACATTTTAGAAGGCAATAAAGATGATTTTTCAAATGTTGGAAAAGATAATGTATTCATATTAAGAATCTTGATTATATGAAGAAGAACTTAATTCACCTAACACTGTAAAACTGAAATGGTCCTTAAAGTGAATTTAAATGATAAAAACCAATAAGAATAAGTTATATATAAATATTTAACTGTAGGGTCTAAAAAAATACAACAGAAGAAATCATTAAGGAAATGTTGATATATTTAATAATATAAAAAATTTTTAAATGATAACAGCAAAGCACCGTATACAGAATTAAGAAGCAAACAGTTTGGGGGAAGTAATTTTCCACAAATAGGATAAACACTGATAAATGGTTTTTTATCTGTAACGTTTAAATCTCACACTAATCAATAAGGACTAAAATGGAAAATGGGCACAGGGTATGAACAAACAATACACAGAAGAGAATACAACTAAAATACAGTAAATATATTGAAAAGGTTTACCTCATGAATAATCAATGAAATGCCAAATGAAAACAATACTTCAGTCATTGTCACATTCAAATAGGCAAACCTTTTATTTATGACACTTATAGAACAGGGCAGGAATGCTCTTATGCTGCTGATCAAAGTATAGTTTTGTACAAAACTGGAAAGGAATTAGACAATAGGTATCAAAAAATATCAAACTGCTTGACCTATTAGTTTCATTTCCCAGAATTTAGCCTATGAAGATAATCAGAAATACTAGCATGGGTATCTGTAAAAAGATATTCATCACATGATTATATATAACAGCAAAAATTTGCAAACCACAATTTTCAACAGTAGAAGAATAGCCAAATAAATTATGGTATATCCATGGAATGAAAATTAGGAACTACTGGAGAAAATGTTTCTGGGCGCACCTGCCTGGCTCAGTCGGTAGAACATGTGTCTCATATGAGTTCTAAGCCCACATTGGGGGTTATGAGTTCAAGGCCCACACTGGGCATGGAACTTACTTAAAAATAATTGGGGCACCTGGGTGACTCAGTCAATTAAGCATCTGACTCTTGGTTTGGCTCAGATCATGATCTCATGGTTCATGAGTTCGAACCTTGCATCGGGCTCCACGCTGACACTATGGAGCCCTCTTCGGATTCCCTCTCTCTCCCTCTCTCTCTGCCCCTCCCCCATTCACTCTCTCTTTCTGTCTCTCTCTCAAAAATAAATAAATAAACTTTAAAAAATTTCAGTTAAGAGCAATGCCATGATTGGGTTAGATGTTAACATTAAGGGGAAACTGAATGAAAGGTATATGGGAACGCTTTCTACTATCTTTGCAACTTTCAGTAAAGCCCAAACTATTTTGATATAAAAAGCTTATTTAAAAAAAAAGAGAATGCTTATAGTGAGAAGGAAGAAAGCAAGATACAATCTATATAGGCTGATCTCAGTTAAGTGGGGGAAAAAATAGCAAAGTAAATATTTAGAAAAAAGACTGAAAAGAAATACACCAAAGGGGTTAATAAGGGTCATTGCTCGGTGATGAGATTAATTTGCTTTTATATTCCTCTATATTGTCCATATTTTCTACAAAGGGCATGTGTTATCTCTACGTTAAAATGCAGACACAGTAATGTTTTGTCAGTGGGCAGGACTGGGTATGGGAAGGCACAGAGGAGGCTATTTTGGGACTGGGAACAGCTTGCACACAGCGTGGAAGCAGGAAGAACGTGAAGTGGATCACGGTCAGTGGGGAGATCAGTCATGAAAGTGGGATCATCTGGGAAAACTGTGAGAAATAAGCTGGAGTGGGCACAAAGGCGGTGGATAATGAAGGCTTTTGAAAGACAGGCGGACAGGTTGGGACTTGGTTGTGTAAGCAGTAAGAGGCCTCTGGAGATTTTTAATCAAAGAACATGCTAGAAGCAGCACTTCAGAACGGCTGAGCGGGCAGCTGTTTGCAAGGTGGGTGGGGAGGGGGGCGGTGAGTAGGGGTGGGGGCCGTCTGGAGCTAGACTATCAGTCAGGAAGCTACATCCCTGCTCAAGATGAGGAGCACTGGACCAGGTGTAGGAACAGAAGGGAAACGATAAACCCGAAAGGTGCACCGAAGGAAAAATAACATTCTTGGTGGTTGACCCAACACAGAGAATGAAGGAGAAGCAAGCGTCCATGACCCCACCAGGCAATCTGGACAGTTAGAAGAAAGTGATGACGATGGCAGGGACAGTTGGCAAACAGATTGAGAAGAGAAAACGAGGAGATCACTTCGGGACATGAATTTGAAGTCATAGTGACACTTCTAAGAATAAGAGACATACTGACTCTGATTTTTTGAGACCAGCGGCCATTTTCCCATCAAGGATATTTTCACTCTATTTATGAATATGGATATTTTATTCAAGATGTATATCACCACTTAAAAATGCTTTTCAAGAAGGGGGGGCACCTGGGTGGCTAGGTCGGTTAAACGTCCTGCTTCGGCTCAGGTCGTGATCTCACGGTTTGTGAGTTCGAGCCCCTCATCAGGCTCTGTGCTGTCAGTACAGAGCCTGCTTCAGATTCTGCATCCCCCTCCCCCTCTGCCTCTCCCTCTCCCACTGCCCCTCCCCAGCACACATACATTCTCTCTCTCAAAAATAAACATTAAAAAAAATGAAGCTATTTTTTGAAATCATCTCTACCCATACAGTATAATTCCTTGATCAGTTTTCTACCACCTTTCAGTAAACTTGTCCAATCTTTCATTTTTATTAGAATTATTTTCCTTGAAGCAAATTATTTTTCACGTGGATTTTATAATGTTCAAGCCAACCCTGTTTGTGTCCATAACAGATGCTGTTGATGATATCTGCCATCTTAGACATTCTTTGATGACCACTGTTTCTTTTTTTTTTATTGATTTTTTAATTTACATCCAAGTTAGCTAGCATATAGTGCAACAATGATTTCAGGAGTAGATTCCTTAAGGCCCCTCACCCATTTAGCCCATCCCCCCTCCCCCAACCCCACCAACAACCCTCTGTTTGTTCTCTATATTTAAGGGTCTCTTATGTTTTGTCCCCCTCCCTGTTTTTATATTATTTTTGCTTCCCTTCCCTTATGTTCCTCTGTTTTGTATCTTAAAGTCCTCAGGAGTGAGGTGATGACCACTGTTTCTATTCCAATGTCTCTGAGTCAAATTTTACAGATCTAAACTTGCCAAGAAGATTTTACTATTCTTTCGGGTCTTAGTAAATAATAAACGTGAGGGGCCCGTGGCACTAATGTCAGTTTTATGCTGACCATTCCTGCCAGAAATCGGATAAAAGATGAAGCAGACGCACATGTGCAGAATCCAGGTGCCCGGCAGGGGCCAAAACATTGGAAACAAAAGTGCCTTTGCAGGGAAAAGTCACAAGATTCGTCTTCCCGCGTCCGTCATTGTCTAGGCATCGAGCCAAAGCGAGAGCATAATGGTCTCATCCAGGTGTGGGCTCAGGTGAAAGGCTTCCTATCCTCGGACTCATCTGGAAACGTTGGATGAGCCCCTAATGACCCTGCCTGTGCTTTGGCCTCATGCTGGAACGGGGGAGGGGAAAGGGAGAGGTGGCATGTGTCACCCAAGGCCGGTGAGGATTCCCGAGCAGGTAAGACGCTGAGGTGATCTCTGAGGGGTTGGCAGAGAGAGACAAGAGAAAAGGGTTTCAGAAGCCCTTCAGGATGATAATGCTAAGCTTTGATTTTCCCTTGAAGGAAATGCAGAAGGATATGGACGAGAAGATGGATGTTTTAATAAATATACAAAAGGGCAGCAAGCTGTAAGTGTGACCTGCACCCATCCCTCCTCATCCCTAAAGAATCTCCTCCCTTCACTTTGCTAAGTGTCCTCGGGCTCAGAGGACCCTCAGACTCTTCAAGGACCTGCTTTGGTTTCTCTTCTCCCAATGGCTTGGATGTCAAGGCTCTCCATGGCCACGCACACTGTGGTTGTCTCCCTGTCATGTTGGAAATTGTTCCCCAACTCTGCCCTTCCCTAACCCCCGCCCCCAGACCCCTTAGAAGAAGGCCAAAGGAGCCCCAGGAACTGAAGCTGACGGCAAAGACCGACACAGACCCACAGCTCCGGCTCAAGAAAATGGATGGAGTCGACGGCACACCACTTACTCTTCACAGGAGGATGATGGCACTTCAAAAACCCAAAAAGGACCCACTGGATTCCCTTCAGCAATGCGGGGCCTGCTGTGTAAGTGGAGCCTTACCCCCTGCCCTGCGCTGGTGCCACAGCCCTGACTCCTGCCTTCCCCTGACTGGCCTGGGCCCTCTCGCTCCCTCACCTCCTGCTGTAGAGGGACGGGTTCCTCCCCTCCGCTGGCCCCAGATGCCTCCCCAGCCCAGACCCCTCCCTGGGGACTTGCCCTCTGAGCCTGGGGAGATTCCCCAGCCGTGACCAAGTCCGCCTCAACACTGGAAGTGCCGGCTTGCCAAGCGCCACCGTCTTGTTCTGCCCTTTCCGCTAGCAAGACCCGATGAGGTGCCCAGCAGGCTGGCCATCTTGGACCAGGGAAAAATGATCATTCTTGTGCCGTTTCTGTCCTCTGCAGGAAAAATGTTTGTTGTGTGCCCAAAAGAACAACTACAATCAAGGGTAGGTAGACCCACACGGGAAGTCCTTGTCCCAGTCAGGGGCCCCATCATCCCAAAGGCCAAGTGCTCAGGCTGTTATTTGCCTCCAGTCTCACCCACGGTTGTGAGACGCTGCCCCCGACCTCATCTACTCAGGCGTAGAGGACATGCACGAGGCAGGGGGACCCGGGTCCCCCAGCCCAGAGCCTGCAGCCCAGACGCCCCCTCAGGGAGGGGAGCCTCTCCAGCAGCTGAGCTGACCCTGCCTCAGGTTCTGCCTTTCTCTTCATCCAGCAGAAAACTTCCGTGCCATGCCTGGGCACCCTTTTCATCATTGGCATCTGGAGCTGCTTTCTGATGTATCTGTGCTTCAAGTCCTTCATCGGGGAAGATGTGTTTCCAACCTAGAGCCACCGCAGAGCCCACCGGCGGCCCCGGGCCTTCCTCTCTGCTCCTTGAGCTGCGCGGTGAAGGCGTGCGGCCCCCTGACCACCCCGCCCCAGGCCTCCTCCCACCCGGAGATTAAAACCTTCACTTTAAAGCCAAAGCAGTATCGTGGTTTTGAATATCGGCCCCAAGCTTCAGTGTGCCAGAATGTCACTTTTTTGGTTCCAAATCCCTGTATTTTGGACTTCAAGCCCTCTTCCTGTTTCCTGTTGGATTGTGGGAAATTCTATCTTGGTCATTCTCAGGGCCTTTCCCCCACCAACACTCTGTGTGGTTGCAGGAGAGACCTCCGCTGTCCTGTACCGGTACCCCTGGGTCTGCAACTCCTGCCTGTGTGCATGGTGGGGGGACCCAAGAGTCTTGGGGACCCCCAGGCCCAGGGTCTAGCTTGCTCTGCTTCCTTCTGAGGTCTTGTCATAAGCAGCGCTCAGGGCCCCACTGCTCACGGGAACTTGGTTCCCTTTGCGGGCTCTGGCGATCCACCCTCCTACCCTCCTGAGGGTCTCCTGTCCCCCCCCCCAAAAGGAGACCTATCTCTGAGGTTTTGCAGAGGCCTCAGGCCTTTACAAAGGTGGGGATGAGCCAGTGACCTTCAACTGCTCCCCTCTCTGTCCTGCCCCAAATCTCACTGGGCAGCTATTACCTCTGCGGCCTCCCCTCTCTTTTGATGTGAGACCTTTACAGAACCAGGCAAGATGGAGGGAGGTGGGGGGTGGGGATGGCCCTGAGAATGACCAAGATAGAATAGAAAGATACAGAGGAAAATAGTATCTCATTAAACTCTCCCGTCATGAGTGTGATTCTTTGGGTTTAGTTTAATGGAGGTAGAATTAATAGGATTCCATGTTTTATTTCACACCAGCTTGCTTTCTTCTTCTTCTTTTAAATGTTTATTTATTTTTGAAAGAGAGGGAGGGAGACAGAGCATGAGCTGGGGGTGGGAGGGTGCAGAAAGAAAGGGAGACACAGAATCTGAAGCAGGCTCCAGGCTCCAGGCTCCCAGCTGTCAGCACAGAGCCCGAAGTGGGACCCGAACGCACGAACGAGATCATGGCCTGAGCCAAAGTCAGAGGGATAACTAACTGAGCCACCAGGGGCCCCTCACACCAACATTCTTGTTTCATCTCCTTGCTAGGTGGGCTGCTTGCACTTGTAGTCAGACTAGTGAATAACTGACCAAGTTCACGGCTACATAGTAGTGAGAGATGTATTGGGCTTCTGACTTATATTTAACAAACAAACAAAAACCAAAACAAAACTTAAGCCTTGCCCTCAAGAAGCTTATAGCTTTAAAAGGAGACATGGTAAACATGTATATTAAAAAATATGGACCATATGACAAGGACAAAATCGTAGCATGTGATGAAAGCAGAAGTGAGTTAGAAATGACGGAAAGGAGAAGGGTGGATGTGGACTGTGCTCATTTCCTATTGCTGCAGTAACAAATTACCACACAGCTAATGGCTTAAGACAACACAAGGTGGGGGCCACCTGGGTGGCTCAGTCGGTTAAGCGTCCGACTTTGGCTCAGGTCATGATCTTGTGGTTCACGGGTTTGAGCCCTGCATCAGGCTCTGTGCTGACAGCTCTTTCTCTCTCAAAAATAAATTAAAAAAAAAATTAAAAACAACAACAACACAAGATGGGTCCAAGATGGGTCCAAAATGGGTCTCACGGGGCTAATATCAAGATGTTGGTGGGCTTGCATTCCTTCTGGAGGCTCCAGGGGAGAATCTGCTGGTGTTTCGGCTCCTAGAGGCTTTCTGCGTCCCTTGGCACACGGCCCCTTCCATGTTCAAAGGCAGCAACGGCCAGCTGCGCCTCTCTCATTCTGTGTCATGCTGATCCTGATTCTTCTTCTGCTACCTCTTTCCACTTTTAAGGGCCCTTGTGATTATGCCGGGCCCACCTGGATAATCATGAGGCTAATAATTACCTTAAAGTAATAAGTCACTTAAAGGTCAGCTAATGAACAACCTTACTCCCCCTTTGCTATGTAACATAGCCTGTTCATGGGTTCTGGGGACCAGAACATGCACATCTTTGGGGGCTGCTATTCTGCCAACACAAGGGACTCCCCAGACCCTGTCCCTTGACCTCCAGACTTTCAATCACTTGGGAACACTGCATTGTGTAGTTCTGTGCTGTTGTAATAGACCCACAAATCCTCTGATACTCTTTCAAGAGGAGCCTAATTCCTCTCCCCTCAGCTGAGGGCTAGACATAGTGACTCACTTCTAGTGAGTAGAATATGGCAGGAGTGATGGTGCGTTACTTCCGAGACTAAATCATAGAAGACACGGTGGCTTCATCTTGCTCTCTCTTAGATACCCAGCCTGGGGGAAGCTCCCGGCTTGGGTGACGACACCCAAGTGGTCCCCCGGAATGGGCCACAGGCAAGGCACTGAGACCTGTTGCCAGTGGTCGCCTTCAGGTGACCGCAGCCCCCGCCAGCGTCTCGACTGCAACCTTGTGAAAAGACCCTGAGCCAGAACCACCCAGTTAAGCACCCCTGGACTTCGCATTTCTGATCTGATCTTAGGTGTCTGAACTTCTCTCCCCCTCTTCCCATCTGTAAACCTATACTCTAGGGTCCCGCATGTGCCCTGCGCATCCCACTCCTGACCCCTTGCCTCTGCTCACCTCATCCTCCCACCTCCGTGAGCCCCCATCATCCCTGCCGGACCACTCTCTGCCCCCACTCAGCTCCTCAAGGACCCAGTGAGCGGGTTGCTCAGCCTCTCACAGACGTTCCCACGCCCCTACTGGCTCTGGGCCACGCGTCCTTCCTCCCCACGCAGCTTGTCAGTTTCTGGAGTCAGCGGTCACTCGTCTTCGTTCATCTTCATCCCCAGCATGGAGGTCAGAGCCCTGCACGTGGCAGGTTCTTAGGAAATGTTTGTCACCTGAGCTGCTGCTGCCGAGGCTGCGCTGGCTTCTTGACCGCCTCCGGGACTTGCAGCCTTGGCACTGAGCCCCCAGCGGGAGGACGCCTCCTGCATGGATTCCCCCAAGACTGAGCAGGCCCTGGGGAGGTGCTGAGAAAACTCTTTGGGCTCTCCAGATTTCCATCCCAGATCGTGTCGGGAACTATATGGGACTGTGCTCTGTGTTCAGTTTGGCTCCTGGGATGGGATGGGGTGGGGCGTCCCTCTTGAGACTTGATTCTTGCGGCCAAATTCCCCTCAGTATGTTTTCAAACCAAAGCAGATGCCAGTTTTAAGAACTAAAGCAAGGTCCTCGGGGAAATAGGTGCTGAGTCCTTTCTGTGCAAAGGATCTGCAGTGCCCGTCAGGCCCTGGGGACTGATGATGGTGACTCTGCAGTCCCTGTCCCCTGACTCTCCCCGAGCTCCCCTGTGCCCCCTTTCCACGTCTCCCGATGCAGAGGCAGCAGAAGGACAGCAGTGTGTGCTGAGGGGACACATCTGCCCGGCTGTCAAACAGCTGTCACATCTGCCCTTGGGATCGGACCTTCCGGGAGCCAAAGCCGTCATTCCTGCTGACACCACACATAGACCAGCTTTGCGGTGAGCTCGTGCTTTCTCTGGGGAGACTCACTGTCACCTCGCCTGAAGTGTAGTTATGCTCCTCTCTTCTCCCAAAGCCCCTGTTCCTGTCCCCAGCTTGGGGGGGCCTCTCCCCAACCCCTTTGTGCGATAGGTCCCAGTTGACCAGACCAAGGTAGATCTCCAGATCTCCAGATCTTGCCCAACCAGAGTTCTTCCCCTGGGAATTTGGAATTGGAATTTGGGGAGATTCCACTGGTCCCCAGAACCGAGCACTTCTAATCGGCGGCTGGAGAGGCATCCGGCACCGTTGGCCCAAGAAGCAGAAAAAGCCGGTCTGTAGAAAAAGACAAGCAGGGGCACCTGGGTGGCTCAGTTGGTTAAGCATCTGACTTGGGCTCAGGTCATGATCTCGTGGTTTGTGGGTTTGAGCCTGCGTCGGGCTCTGTGCTGACAGAGCCTGGAGCCTGTCTTCAGATTCTGTATCTCTCTCTCTCTTTGACCCTCCCCTGCTCATGCTGTCTCTTGCTCTCAAAAATAATTAAACATTTAAAAAATTTTTAAAGAAAAGAAAGAAAAAGACAAGCAGTTTGCAGAGAGTGAAGAAACAGAGAAGCTGAGAGAAGGGGAGAGCCATGCAGTCCCAGAGAGGGGCTGCCAGAGCCACCCCCTTAGCTTTGTGGCTGCCCCCCGGGGCTGGGGCTTTTGGACTTCAGTGCCCTTTGCTGTGACAGCAGAGTGGCTTCCGGTTACCATGGAACTAGCCCCCCCCCCCCCCCCCAGTTAGGAGTCTCAGAGATCATCCATGCCAATCTCTTCAACTTCCTATGGGAAGTCCAAGGCCCAGAGAGGTGCAGCAAGGTGCCCTCAGCCATACAGTCAATTTGTAGCAAAGCCGGGGCCACAACCCCGGTTTTCTGACTCTGGGCCCAGGGCTCTCTGCTCCCTTTGCTCTGTGGCTCACTGGGGATGAGGAGGAGGAAGCACCTAGCTCTTGAGGTCAGCGAGATCTGGATCATGCTGGTGGTATGACTGCAGGTCAGTCCCTTCCCCTCTCTGAGACTCAAGGTTTCATCCAGGACTTGGGGATACAAACACCTAATTAACAGGGGTGTTGTGAGGGTTAAATCAGAGTATACGTAGAGGAGTTAATTTTTTTAAGTTTTTTTTTTTTTTAAATACTTTATTTTGAGAGTGGCACCTGGGTGGCTCTGTTGGTTAAGGGCCCGACTTCGGCTTAGGTCATAATCTCAAGGTTCATGGGTTTGAGCCCCGTGTCAGGCTCTGTGCTGACAGCTCAGAGCCTGGAGCCTGCTTCAGATTCTGTGTCTCCCTCTCTCTCTGACCCTCCCCTGCTTGTGCTCTGTCTCTCTCTCTCTCAAAGATAAACTTAATTTTTTTAAAAAAATTTATTTTGAAAGAGAGAGAGGGAGAGAGAGAATCCCCAATACTCTTCTTGCTGTTAGCACTGAGCCCACCATAGGGCTTGAACTCACAAACCGTGAGATCATGGCCTGACCCAAAATCAAGAGTTAGATGCTTACCTGACCGAGCCACCCAGGTGCCCCAGAGGAGTAATGTTTAAATAAAAA